CCGGGTAGGGTGGTTGCTGGCTAGTTATATTGAGGGAACAGGGAAACACATTTCTAAAAATAAATACTTAATATACGCTATTATTGGTATCTTATCACCATGTAGCAATACCCGTATTGTTATTTTGATTTGTATACAAAAATATAATAATTCATAATATTAAATATACGAGCGTATCAGCTAAACAGCGTACAACATTAATATTCGAATATTGTATAATTCTTGATTCAGATGATTTTTCTATTACTTTATCATTTAATATGTTGTAACTTGTAACTATAAGTAACTTGTAACATCATATGAGTTGTCGTGTAGCATTGTTATACTTTACTCCTATACTTTATTTAGGTACCTATAACCATAGGGACTAGGGACTATACCTATCCACCCACCTACCCACCTACCCATCACGAAAGCACATGCAGTTGCACCCCTTGCTAACCTGTCTGGGCGCCACTGTCCAGTAGTATCGCCCGAGTATCGAAACCATTGCTAAATCCTCTATTTCTAAATTTTCTGTTATAAAAATAGGGTAGAAAACGCTATTGACACAAGTTCTGTATGCCATTGAATTTGTAAATCAAACTTAAAGTCACCTACTCACGAAGTTCATATTATAATATAAAATACCGAATGGCACAAAATAGGATATATTGTGTGAAGTATATGTTATCAGATGGTTCTGTCACTGAACTGACAGTACGGATAAGGATCGTATATTATATACTTTTATGTACGATATACCTAACCTTTATATGGGTTTGCGACTGTTGGCTGTCATTTAATGCCTATTTTTATATAGGCGTGACTCGTTTCTCCCAAAAATGACCGTACCAGTTTCGTCCAGATATCCGTTCGCCCAAATTTTGTTATTATAAGATTCCCGTTTCGCCCAGACTAGTTTAGAGTGTTTAGACCAATTTAAAATTAAGTTGGCAATGGTTTAGTCAAGTATTGTACATTATATTTGAATATATTTTGCGTTACCCAGAGAACACCACGAGGAGACGATACTCTTTATTCTCCAAAACTTTAAATTCATTTCGCGTTAAAAATTTAGTATTTACAAATAATACGTTCAATAAAATATTTAAAAAAAAACTACATATGTAATAAAAGGTTTTAATTTTGTTAAAATTATATTTAATACCTACACACTATTTTTAAAATTATTACACATACTTTTCATGAACTCATATCGGGTAATTTTGTTTAAACGGTATCGTATTATTTGTTTTTTATTGTGTTCTTGTCTTTTTAATTATAATTACATCTTTTAATGTTTTTGGTATTTCAACGCTATCGATTTTTATGTAAGTATCAATTTGAACATAATTTTGCATAACATTCAACCAACTTAATATAGATTGGTAATTAGAATAAAAATTGTCATTGTAAAATGAATGGAACGACTCACACACATTCGTCGTAAACCGTATATTCACTGTATTACATGCCCATAAACTAAGAGTAAATGTACTATCCTCAGAAATATAATTGTTTATTAAATAATCACAGTATTTAATAACTCTATCGTCAGTTGGACATTCCGACATCAAATCTTTAACAAAACAATCCGACACTTCGTAGCGTTTTAAATATGTTAAACCGAAAGTGTATTTAATCCATTTCAAATATAGACCATTTGCCAATGTCTGTATTTTCGCTATATTCTGTAGCTAAACTATGCTTCAGAATATTTTGAAACCATGTCTGTGTTAAGTAAAAACGACAAGTCGACACCCAACTGTCTTTAATAGAGACCAAACTTCATTAACAGCCGAGTGTATGGCTAATTAAAAGTCAATAATATTATGTTTAGGTGAAAAATTCAAGCTAATTTCATTACATTTATCTTCAATTGCATTAAGCGTATATACATATATATATATGTTTTATACTTTTTATCGAGAAGAAGACAAAAAATTAACGGTATGTAATGTCCATTTCAAAAACCATGAATGGTAAATATTTGTGTAAAAAATCAGGCATAATATTGAAAAGTCCTATCCATATAAATTGATTCCACAGTCTAGTTATGTGATCGAAAATAGAAAATGTCCAATTAAATGCAATTAATGGATAGTTCCTTATTCACGTAACCACATAAATGTTTTTATATTCCTTATACTTATTGTGCATAATTGTATAGATTGTAAATTTTTTGTAAAAAAACAATGAAATCAACTTTTATAATTGGTAATAGGTGATTAATAATTACGTTACCATAGTAAAGTTATAATACCGTTAAAATATTTGGTATATTTTGAAAACAAAGTTTGAAACAGTTTTTGATTTTCTAGACAGCATTTATAATCTATCTTTTTTTTTTTACAAGTATTTATAATAATATAACGTCAAGAATGGCTAAAATAAATGTAGAGTTTTTAATTTATAAGGCGATAAACGCCTTCAACGTGAGTATTTGGTTAATTTCCTGTAAATAACATTAAATAATGATAAAAACATTTTTCAGGGACGTATTAATCATCATTTATTGGTGAAACTTTTTGAGGTCATTATCAAGTATGTACAGCTTGATAAATAAAAAAATCAAAATAACCATTTTGTAAATTCGATTTTTAGAAATATTTTGGTTAAACAATTTTTAAAGTTTGCTTAAATCCAAATGTATTTTTCGCTTATCAATGTTATACTAATTATAGATTATCGATTATCCAGAAATCTATTTGAAATAATATAAAATTATGCGAACTTCAAAAAATTGTAAAAAATAAACGGCTGTAATTTTTTACATTTTTCATTTTTTTTTTTTTTTGCAAACATATTTTAAAAATCATATCAACGAAATGACTATTTTGATTTTTTTAAATATCAAGTTTCTTGATTTTACATACAAAATTAAAAAAAAAAAAAATCAAAAATTAATTTAAATATAGTACAGATGACAAATGATAATTAAAAAAAAAGTTGAAAATGTTCAATAGAACAAAATTTATTGCAATTGTCAGTTCACCGTGAAACATCCTGTATATTAATATATAATATTGGAAATTTAATACAATAATCAGATTATATTAGGTATAGTATATATTTATGACTCCATATCTACTTTTAATAATTTAAAGTTAATAATAATATATATTTCTTATATGTCTTATAATTAGTTATTTTAATAACCACATGAAAAAATTAATAACTGTTCCGCATAGCTATGTTTTTAAAACATTTTGTACTTATCGAAGAATTAATTTTTTTATTCGTTCCTTACGCTTATGACATTCTACAGGAACCTGCCACCTGCGAAAATTATAGGTACTTTTATACTTATACATGCATATTGAATACATTATAATAAATTATGTATTCTGTGGTTTTTAGAAAGAAAACTAATATAAGTTATAGGGATATAAAGCCGTTTAAGTAGGTACAATCATTGTAAAAATAAAAAATACAGAATCACATACCGTAGTAAAATATAATGACACTTGTCTATTTCACAATAATTATATCATTTAAAATTTGAAGATATTGAAATATGATACCAATATAATATGCCTATTTATGTAACAATGATAATCAAAATAACTTTCACGAATTAATGATTGCAACTTAAATAACTGCACTGCAGTGTAGATTCGATATATTCCAACTGCAAGATTATATTTTAATATAACAGTAGTAATGGTCTAGTTATGGTATAGTAGATATTGAATGCAGAAGCGATTTATGAGGGGTGTCGGGGTGTCGCATTTTTAGAATTAGATGAATTTACAAAAATGTTTAATACAAAGTCACCTTTTCGTGTAAAAAAAATGTATATGGACAAAAAAATACAATTATCTAATATTATTATAATTATATATCAATACCTATTTATAATTTTGTTAATAACAAATTACTCTTATAGTTACTTTATAAGTATCTAAGTGATAAGTTCATAATACTTAAATTTTAATAAAATCTTAAGGTATGTTTACTTATTAAAAAGAACTTATATTATATGTAGGTACCTACTCAAAACATTAATCATTATTAAATTTAAGCATAAATATTTTTTTAGAAATCGTCCTATGTGAGGGTGTAAGGTGTCAGCCATTTGTATTTATCTGCCTCTAATTTATAAATAAGTTCATTAAAGTTCAGGTAAGACTTAAAATAAAATAAAAAAACAATTGACTTTAAAGTACCTACATAAAAATTTAATATAGTTTTTACTATGTTCAAGACATTACATTATTTTTCTATTTTTTGTAGTGAATAATTAATGTAAGTATTTAAAACAATGATGTATGATGTATGATGTATTTCTCTCATTATTAAATTATTCATAATTTTGAAAACCGTTCCTATCTCACACTAGATCGTCTAAATTTGTCTAAAATAATTATTGATTTCTCTCATAGTAGAAATAGAAAATTACCATTTACAGGTAGCTAAACTGACTGGAAGAGTGATGGATAATTAAATCATTTTAAAAAGATTTGGAAATATGTCTTTTATTATTTTTCTGTTAATTAAATAATTTGATATTCCTTCTATTATATTTTTCAAAATTATTATTTCACATTTTAAATCATTAGAGATGATTTAAAACAAATCTGTGAATTATGTAATTTTGAATTGAATGCATGACAAAAATAGTATTAATAAATAAACAAAATATATTTATTGAGACAAAATTCTTCTTGTTTTTTGTGAGATGGGGGCTTATCCCATCAGTTACTCCTAATATACTACTACTACTACCTACTATTTATATATGCTACTTGCATTCGATTTACACAAGCTACGCTACCCTTCAGGATTTATTGGGTCTACAGAGTACGGAGTGTCGAAGTTATGGCTATTACTCAAGTTTTACATTGTTACCTTAGTACCTTACTATAAACCAATATTTCTGTGAACAAATTTACTATGGAGGCAAAACAATTTTCATTATTATCGATATCTTTTCGTTATCATTGTCTTTTAGCGCTTATCACTAAATAAATTCAATTTAGATACTGATATTTATTTAGAGTTTAGACGTCCATAGTTCATAAATCATAATTTTATAATGTATTATTAATTAATATTTATTTTACCTTTATAGTATGAAACATAAATACTTAACACTTCAGTTCGTTTTATTGTCTTGTTGATTTGTTTAAATTTATCAATTATTTTAACATTATATGGATACTAGGCTTTGGGCAATAGGCATGTTCTTAAGTATTCTTGGTTATCGTTATTTATGATGGGGACAAAGTTTCTTATGGTTATAATCAAATATAGTATTAATAAGTAATGTAATTCAAGTTTGTGTGGTTAGAAACCTACAATTATGATGAAATTAGTTAATGATCCTTGTGGTATATTTTGCATAATATTCACATATACTTCAATCATATACGCTGACTATGTAGTGATACAATGGGTTGTTTTGCACACCATGCAAGATAGGTAATATTTTATTTTATTATGTCTAATAATGTGTTTCCTATATTTTTAGTCTATTTATTAAATGTTAATGCTTTTAATAAACTAACATACGTTTTAACTTAGTGTAAGACATTTGCAATATAATAAATTATTTCAACCTATCAAATTTTTTTTCTTTATTATATATTTTACATAAAGAATAGTTTCTACTTATATTTGTGATTCTATATAACATACTCTAATATGAGTATACATAAAACTTAAAATATTACAAAACCAATCCAGTTATATTATTATATCTAGATATCTACCTACTTAAGAAATAATTTATCGGCCTAATAAAAACATTTAAAAATGTTTGAGTTTTAGTCATAAATAAAGTATTTTATTAGTATAAATGTAGTTTTTACCAATTTTATTAAACCTAAAGTTAAATTTTTATTTTTTTTATTGATAAATTAACTATATATATATTTACACCTATATTCTTATTATAATTTCTTTGAATTTCATATAAATTATTTACTCAAGATTATTATTTTATATACTTTTCAGCTTATGGGCTCCATTTCACATAGTGCTTTTCAATACGTTTCTTTTGTTATTGACAGTATCACATTTACGAGCAATGTTTTCTGATCCTGGAACTGTACCTCTATCACATACTAACGTTTCTTTATCAGACTTACGGCAAGGTATGTAATTAAATACAATTATTTTATTTTTATAAATTATTAGTTGACAAATGTCTATGACCCTTTCTATGATGTTTGTGAACATACCTACCTATATAGTTAATGAACCTTTAGTGAAAAGAGAAGATTGGACTATGTGTACACGATGTGAAGCATATCGACCACCTCGAGCTCATCACTGTCGAATTTGTAAGCGCTGTATTAGACGAATGGATCATCATTGCCCATGGTATTAATAAAAAAAAAAAATATTAATGCAATATATTTATCATTACTTTTATTGTTATTTATGGTGAAACTTTTTTTTAAAATTAGGATTAATAATTGTGTTGGAGAAAAAAATCAAAAATATTTTGTCCAATTTCTTTTTTTTGTTTGTATTATTTCCGCATACACTATCATGTTAGTTATCATGTCATGGGTACGTGAATGCCGGCAGTGTAAACTATATGATATGGATACAAGACAAACACAAGTGTAAGTTTTTTGTATACTTGATATAACTACTGTGATTTTTATTACATATTATAATAAAATAAGGTTAAATATTAGTATCTCTGCTCAATAAAAAATTATTGTGTATTATCTAATGTAAACATGTTAATTTTGATTAGAAGACTAAATTTAATTTAAAGTATTTCATAATTATTAGATTATTTATTTATTTTATAATTAATTATATAACATTTTTTCTTGTTTATTTTTTAGCCTACATTCAGTAATTTTAATAATGGAAAGTGCTCTTTTTGGTATGTTTGTTATTGCAATCTTGTATGATCAAATGGATGCTATTTATAATGATCAGACAACAATAGAACAAACAGTCTATAAACGTCCAAATCCATTACACAGATATATATTTTCTGTTATTTGTCGTTGGCCAAAAATATCTAGGTCTACATCTAAAATCAACATTCGATCTGTATGATTTGTTTATTGTTAATTTACATAATTAATGTAGAGATTAGTTAAATTTTTTAATTTTTAAATTCATATTAGCAATAGGTACATTATGTTATGTAAATGATTCATTATGCAAAGCAATTAAACTCTGTGTTATTTAAATTGATTTAAAACACAAAATTATAAAATATTTATATCTTAAAATTGTCAAGCAAAACAGATTGTGTTCGGTTTTATAATTTTGTGTTGTTTTTTTTTTTTTACTTATGTTTATTATGGTACAAATTACAATTATATTTTGTCTTGTACATATATTTTGTAAATAACATTCATGTGGCACTTTCATGTCAGTCATATTCTTATTCTTCTTAGCTACATTTCTCTTATAATTAAACTTTTTACTAATTATTCCCAAATATCTCACAATTCATTGACTGATCTTATTTTAACTGTTAGCTTTTCAATTTAAAATGTTAATGGTAATTCTTCCCTAAATTTACTAATGTACCTTTTCCATGCACAAATCACTGTTAAACAATTTATACATAGTAAATACAAGATCAATTACTTAAATAAAGTTTCAAATTTATAAGAACTTGTTATAATTTATCATTACATTAAACTATAATTATATATTTCTATTCTTAGAACAAATTAAGTGATACTTGTACCCAACATCTGGTTTTTGTTACAATAGTTATAATTTTTTTTAGATTGTTTTTTTAAGAAATTTATAAATTAACATAATTAATTTTAATTTAATGTTAACATATAACTTTAATTAGTTATATACTTAATATTTTATTTTTATCTTAAGAAATTGAATAAAACGGTGCCAGATTATTATTGGCATAAAATCATAAAATATCAAAATGTTTTTTATGAATGTACATGCACAGTTTGTACTATTATTATTAAATTATTTAATCTGAAAAAATCAAATATGTATTAAATAATAACTATTTTTTCAATATTGAGTTGATCATGATGTGATGAAAATATTTATAAAATACAATCAATATCATAATAGAATTGATAAAGTTTTCTTATAGTGACAAAATATTTAATACTCATACTATCTATTTTTAAAATTTTTAGTTCAGTTTACTTATATTGGATCCTGTCTATTTTTGTAGATACTTATATACATTAATAATTATAAAATTTTTGTGGATTATTATTCCATAATAATTATGTAATGTTAATATTTTTGAAACATGGTGTTAAGTTTAATAATTTATATAGTTCATATCTACTTAATTATTAATTTCAATTTTAAAATGTAGCATAAATTCTGAAATTACTATTATATTGTTAAATTTTTGTATTGTAATTATAAATATGTAAAAATAATATTTCCATGTAAAAAGTATATAATTCTGTTAAAATTTGAATACAATAAATGTTATTGTGTTTTTAAATAATGACATGTATAAATATATACAATTTATTTAGCAAATAACTGTATTTATTATTTCTTATATTCTAGATAAAAATGTTTTATTTTTAATCCACATTTTATTGATTAAACTAAATATTTACTCATACTAGATTATTTGCTAGGCAACAGAACTTACTGTTGTTATTATTTTATTCAATATCTTTGTTGCATTTAAAATTTCTCTTAAATTTAATTTTTACATAATGTTTTGTTATAAAAAATATAGTAAACATATCACAGAAGAAACAATTAATGGTCATCAAAATGATGACAATAATTTGTTAAAAAGTGGTGATTTCATATCCAAACCAATTAAAAGTATGAAATGTACAATAGATGAAAATATACTACAACTTCAGTATCCTTTCTCATATCAAAATAGTATTTTGCACGTATAGATTTTAATGTGTAATTGTAGTTACAGTTTATACCTAATTATCTTTTTTTTTTTATGAAACAAAAGTTATCTATAATTAAGAGGTATCTAATTAGGTGTGGTAGATGATATTACATACAAATAAATAATAATGTAGTTTAATTGATATTATTATCTTTATTTTTTTAATATTAAATACTAATAATTCTGTTAAATAGTTACACAAACAATATGATGTATGGTACCTAGGGGGTAACCTGTAACAGAGGTAAAAAATCCTTAAGCTCTATGTCTAAGTCATTCTTTTGGCTATGATTGCTGTCATAAAATGTTCAATATATGTGCAGCAGACAAGCATACAGTTGTATATGCAGCAGGTAGTTATATAATTATGTTTGACATTAATGAAGGAAAATTGGATTTTAGAAAATGTGCCGGCAATGGAGGAATAGGACATATAACTGTAAGTTTATTGAATATTTAGAGTATTTTTCAATAATTAATAACAATACATTTTTGTTAAAATAGAAAAATCCAGTTTTGAGCCACATTGCAGTAGGAGAAAATTGTACTAATCCACTGATTATTGTGTATGAATGGCCAACATTTAAAATAATTAGTGTTCTCAAAGACAGTGCCAAACAACAAAACAACTGGTTATCTTATAGGTTTAACTAGTATAAGTATATTATGATATGAATTAAATGTACCTATTAATATATGCTATTAACATAATAAACATAAAAATTGAGTATAGTAGGTTATTGATACTTATCATTTGTATAATTACGACATATCTGATCATTGAGCATTTATTAAGTCACAATAATTGAATAATGTACCTATGTATTAAGTATTTGAATTCAATGATAAACCTAGGTACCTATGAAAAACTACTTAGCATGAAGACAATCTGTTTGAGAATTATTACTAAATACTAAGTACATTTTGTTATATTAAAATAATTAATCTAAATATTTTAAAAATTTCACTGTATACAGTAAATATATAGTAATATACCTATGTAAAAGTTTTAAGTATCTATTATGTATCCACAAATAGTATTTTTGAATGGCAACAAAATAAGTAACTAAAATTAATATTTTTATTTGAACATCTAATATTGTTAAAATTTGAACTTCTATTAGGTACCTGCCTACTTATAAAAAATTTGTGTTATGGCTTTATGCTAAACTTTTTTTTAACTTCCGTGAACAAAATTTAGGAAAAGTCTTAAAATATTTGAATTTTTTAAATATCAGGTGTTAAAATAAAAATTGCATACATTTATATCTACAAAATAATTTGCATTTTTTCATGATTTCGATGAATTTCATAAACATTTGGACATAAAACCCATATATAAAAAATAATGACTATTTTCAATAATTTTTAATTGATATAAAAATCACTTATGAGTTATGAGTTATTGTATTACATTTTCAACCTTTTTTAGTCGAAAATATTTTGAATATTTCATCTAAGTAGTAAATGCTAATAAAAGACTATAATATATTTTTATAATAAAAATTCCATTTTTGTTTTTAGCCAAAATGGTGAATATTTGTGTTCACAAGCAGGAGAACCCGATAATACTTTAACAATTTGGGATTGGAAGAAATCAAAAATAGTTTTGAAGACTAAGTCTTACGATCAGAATGTATCTGTATGTAGATTTTCAAACTTTATACCCGATCACTTGGTAACAGCAGGGACGGGACACTTAAAATTTTGGAAAATGGCAAAAACATTTAGTGGATTAAAGCTTCAAGGTCAGCTCGGACGTTTTGGAAAAACAGAAGTATCGAACGTCATTGGAATTTTTTCGATGCCCGATGAGAAAGTAAAATAAATATGGTCATATTTTTAATAACTTTAATAAATAAGAGCAAATACTATTATATAATAATATATATATACATGTATTTTGGTTATTGACTTATTGTAATGTTAGTATTTGTGTTATTTGTGTTGTATGTGTTATAATCATTTCATTTATTCGAAATTCTCGATTATGAATATTAATAATATACAATCGATCACCCCCCCCCCCCCCCCCCCCCCACCACCCATAAAAAAAAAAAGAATTTTTTTTAAAAACAATTACCTACCTTGTTATGTTATCTATTGTAAGTTTTATGAATAAGGCGGGGAAACATATTTTCTTAGATAGGTATTTAAAATTATTATAGTTTCCTAAGTTTCATTTTCCATTGATTATACGTATTATGAATCTGTTAGTACAACATTAATGAGTAGACGTTGAATATTTAAATTTTAAAGTATAAGTTTTTTAAATGAGTTAATTAAATACTATTTTTACTAAATTTTTAAATGTAATTGCTGCCCATATTTCATATCAATTATTAAAAGTCTTTCTAATCATTACTTTGTACAGCCTTAATATTTTTTTTTTAGATTTGAATAATTTAGATAACGCTAAGAAGCTCGCAAAAGAAGCTCTTTCTGTCTTTACTATTCTCATATTTATATCACGTGATTAATCGTTTTTTTTTTTCTAAAAATTATTGTGGAATTCTTCAAATTTTTCAAAAGCTGTTGAATCCATGTTGTCCTGAGAAAGCTCTCTGTAAAGAAGTTTCAATATTTTGTTTTTTTTCTTCATATATCGGCTCTAATTTTTTGTGGTTTTTTCAAAAACTTTAGTTAAACATAAAATTCCTCTAGTAATTCACTATTTTGAAAAGATGTTCAGTTGAATCGTAGCTAGAATTTGTACTTAGTGTTGATTGATCGCTACAATACTTGTTTTATTTTGCATAATTCGCTCTGCTTTGAAGATTTAGATCTTCGATATATTATCTTCTTCAGAAAGTTTGCTAGGTATCATTTATGACTTAAGTAATTCTATGAAATATTTTCTCCATATTTTAGCCTTTTTTTTTTGTTTCATGTGAATAGATTTTGATTTATTTTTTATTGTTTTTAACTTTTAAGCTTGGGTTGAATTGTTGATGTTCTTAATAACACTACAAAAATAACTTTAGTTACCTACCTCGTAAAACTTTTTTCTTTCCGTTTAGGTACTCTAATATTTAATTTAAATAATTTTACTTTCTCTTTTGCAAAATATGTTATCTAGCAATTTTTGCTTTTCAATTGTTTTTTGGCAAACTTTATTTAATTATTTATTCTTTGAATTAAAAAAAAAAAAAAATCAATTTCTTATTTTGCAAATATCCTTAAGTAGTTAACTGATTTAGGTCCAGTCTAAATCTAAGTCTTGTAAGTTGAAGTTTTTAATTTTTATCCAGTTTTCCATAAAGTTATGTTGGATTTTTGGGTCTTTGACTGCCTTACATCGTCACCCTTACATCGTCACCCTTAAATCTTCTTACATCTTTGATTTAGGATCTTAAATGTTTTTGTATTTATACATGGTCAATTTGGTTGGTTACCTTTTCATCTAGTTATTTTCAAGGAATCTTGTGAATCTTTTTGAGTATAAAAGTTGTTATACTTATAATCTTTGTCTTGGATGCTGCAAATTATATTATCTTTGGGCCCTTTAAATTGGTATCTATCCTGTGGAAAATATTAATCTATTTGGAAGCTAAGCGTTATCATACCTATATTTTGAAGGAAAATAAATAGAAAAAAGTCCCAATTATTACAACAAACTAATCACTCAAATCTACATAATACTAATTTAATAAGTAAATATAGATATAAATAATTATATGAAAGATTATAATAAC